AAAAAAGTTCAACTTAATATTCAAATTCATTGACCGAAAATCATACTCAAAACAATTAGTTCAATTTTTTTGAAACCACTTACTATATTCCAAAGTTCATAAAATGTAAATAACAAAAAATCAACTTAAATAAGATTTTAAAAAATGTTTGCGCAGGCAAATGCATTTTAAGAATCATAAAATAAAAAAAAAAGTTCAACTTGATAAGCGGACACAAAAATAGAAAACCAAATAAGGATCTTTTTATTCTAAGGGTCCCACTTAAGCCTCTGTTAGTCGCGCGTCAAACGGGGGTGATAAAACTAGCACCCCCCACACTGCCCAACTCGCGCGACTATGCTGTTAAAACAGAGGGTTAAATAAGTCATAAAAAGGTTAGTACGCCTTAGGGCTATGGATAGTTGAAGCTGTGGTGATGATAGTAGGCTAGTGGTAGTATATTATCATCCCTGGTCGAGTGCATCGCAATGATCTTTTTCTACTAACTACCAAGGTATTCGATATTGTATAAGCATAACAATAAGATAAAATATTTAAATTTTACCAAGATAAATTAGAACCTAATTAACTATCACAATCTGAATATATAGTTTTAAAGCTAGTCGGCTAGCGTTGTACCAGTACCTACTTATAATTAATAATAATTTAAATACAGTCAACACTCATTAGTGAATTGTCTATCACAAAAAATTATAAAAACTGATTTAAAAATTCTAATGTATCAAAAATATAACAAAATGTTAGTTGAGAAATAATGAGAGTTGACGGTATGAGGAGTTATTGTGAGGTTTTCAGTATTTATTTATTCATTAGTTTTGACTTAAAATATGGTTTAGTGTATTAAAATTATATTGTATTAGAATTCCCAATATGTTTTCTTCTCACTTCATTCCACATGGCACTTAATCTATTTTTGTCCAACACATATTTACTAAGAACAAAACAAAAATATAAATATTTTTATATTTGAATTTTTTGTATACTTTTTCAAAATGTATACTAGTTACAGTTTGAAAAACAATATTATTTTAATTCAAACATTAAACTATTTAAGTCAAAAATTGCTTTAACGTAAAAGAGCACTAAGACCTCTTCCACATTTCTTTGTATCCATATTAACTTTCAATCAATTAACACACAATTTTATTGTACTAAGGGAAAGTCGACAGAACTCTGATCATATTTTTTCACATTTTTTACTGATATTGCAGTAGACTGTAGTCTTTAATATTTGTTATTAATGCACATTTTTTCATACATAATTTTTATTTTGATTCTTAATATTCATTTGCCCGCGGGCACCCATGCCTCCCTTCCCATTTTTGTTTTTAAATTTAAATTCTATCATATTTTTTTATAATTTATTTTTATTTTGATTCTTAAAATTCATTTGCCCTCGGGCGCCCATGCCCCCCTTCCCATTTTTATTTTTAAATTTAAATTCTATCATAATTTTTTTAATTTATTTTATTTTGATTCTTACAATTCATTTGCCCTCGGGCGCCCATGCCCCCCTTCAAATTTTTTTTTTCTATTATTTAACTCTAGTTAAACTGTTAAAAAACATTTTTTAAATTTTAATAACAAATTAGTACCTTATNATAGTGATATTGTAGACTGCAGTCTTTGATATTTATTTTTAATGTACATTTATTCATAATTTTTTTTTATTTGATTCTTAAAGTTCATTTGCCCTCGGGCGCCCATGCCCCCTTCCCATTTTTGTTTTTAAATTTAAATTCTATCATAATTTTTTAATAATTTTTTTTATTTTGATTCTTACAATTCATTTGCCTGCGGGCGCCCATGCCTCCCTTCCCATTTTTATTTTTAAAATTAAATCCTAACAACATTTTTTATAATTTTTTTTATTTTGATTCTTAAAATTCATTTGCCTGCGGGCGCCCATAACCCCCTTCAATTTTTTTTCTATTATTTAAACGTCCTCTAAAGAATTGTAAAAAGTAGAAACTTTTAAATTGAATTGGCAAACAGTTACATTCCACGATAAATGAAAATTCTTGTAAATTTTGTTGGTTATTCATTGCAATGTGTTTTTATGAATGTGGATCTAGATTCACCTATATTCAACATATTCTATTTTACTTTAGTCCAAAGAAAGCTTTAACTCTAGTTCAATTTTTTAAAAACATTTTTTAAATTTTGATAACCAGTTCGTTCTTTATAAAAATAAATAAATAAATAAAATTAATTTAGAAAAATAATTAAATAAAATAAATTATAATAAATTAATAAAAATAAAATTAATAAAATAAAAATGAATCAAACAAAACCAATTCAAAGAAAATTATTCAAAGAAAACTAAAGAGAGAAAATTAAAGAAAGCAAATATATCAAAGAAAATAAATTAAAGGAAAAAATTAAAGAAAAAAAATTAAAGAAAAAAAATTAAAGAAAAAATAAAGAAAAAAATTAAAGAAAAAATTAAAGAAAAAAAATTAAAGGTAAACAAATTAAAGAAAAAAAATTAAAGAAAATTAATCAATGTAAATTAATAAAATTAAAAAAAAGTTAATGGAATAAAATTAATAAAAATAAATTCTTCAAATAAATTAGTAAAAATAAAATAAAATTAGTAAAATAAAATTAATAAAAATAAATACATTTTTCTTTGAATAATTTTCTTTGATTAATTTTCTTTGGTTAATTTTCTTTGATTAATTATCTTTCTCTAATTTTCTTTGATAAATTTATTTTTATTAATTTCACATGTTTAATTTTTTTTTACTAATAATATTTTATATTTATTTTTATTAATTTATTATAATTTTTTTTATTTCATTGATTTATTTTTCTTAATTAAGTTTCTTAATTTATTTATTTTGATAAGGAAGTAACTCTTTATCAAAATTTAAAAATGGTTTTTAAAAAATTGAACTACAGTTAAATAGAAAAAAAATTTAAAGGGGGCATGGGCGCCCGCAGGAAAATGAATTTTAAGAATCAAAATAAAATCGTGGCCCGATGCATTCCGAATTGAAACCGCGCGTTCACGAATGACCGGTCCCGCGAACAACTGGTTTAGTGGAAGGAAGTTTAAGACCTGGAACGAATTTGTCTGTCAATTCAAACACACGTTCGTAGGCACAAAGCTCGATATAGTTGAGCGCATGAAGTCTATGCTAAGTAGGGCACAAGGTGAATCTGAAGCAATAGCTGATTATTTTCACCACAAAGCTAGATTATGCCGATAGCTGGAACTGCCATTTAATGAAGTTAAAAAACAGATTGTTGCCGGTCTAAGGTCACTAGAACTATGTCATTACCTATTGGCGCGACACCATACTGATGAAGACAGTCTGTATTATGATATAATGACGTTTGCTCAAATTAATGACGCACGTTCTCAGTATTTCAAGAAAGATAACGACACTAGTAAGAAGCTACAACGTTTAAGTATCAATGAAGTTAATCATGTGAAGTCGAGTACTGTAAATCCACCGATGGGTACAATAAAAGATGCTAATAACAAAAGGTTTGTAAAACTACCGCCGCGTAACGACAAAGATGAACCACTATGTTTCAATTGCTCAACATATGGAGACGTATCTAGATATTTTCAAAAACCAAAAAAAATGAAGTGTACAAAATGTGGAAAATTTGGTCATGAAGAAAAAACTTGTGTTACTAACACACCAGTTGTATCTTTGGTAAGTTTACAACCAAATTCAATTAATGAAACATATTTCTTTGATGCTCGAATCAATGATAAGATAGTGAAAGCCTATGCAGATACTGGTAGTCAGTTATGTTTAATGGTGATGATGATGACGACCACCGTGACAAAAGACTTGCCGAGTGTTTAAACACTTTCCTTGTACGTCCAACGATTCGAACGTCAGAAAAAAATATTAAAAATAAATCGTCTCATATTTTCATACATACCCTAGCGTAGTTGCATCCTGCTAATTACACTCTTGCAGTCTTGCAGCATTACATTATTACAATACTCATTACGGTTATATACATAGACTTATAATGTACATTATGCGTGAAATAAATAGGAATACCTAGTGAGACAATTTTTTTTACAAAAGGATTTTTTAGTTATTGCCTATTGGTTTGTAAGTTAGATTATCTTTATACGATTTTTATTTATTAAAATATATCTTAATTTAAAAGTAATGAGTACCTACCTAACCCATTTAAAAAAACATCTCGATATCAACAGGCCCGGATTAACACTACCGTAGGCCCTAGGTCCATGTGCTAATACGGTCCTGTAGTGTTCAGTATTTAAATGATTAAGAAACCTAATGTTTGGGAGAGGTAGTGTTGAATCTCAGTGTTTTAATCCTTTAAAAACGAAAATATTTACAACATGAAAATCATATAATATTTTACATTTTAAGCACATAATAAGTTCTATTCTTGTTACATAGTTATGTTATTATTGCTTGATATTACAATGGGAATATTATAAGTTTAAAAATAAGTGTACCCCTCATAAGTGGTGTCTTCCAATAAGCCACGAAACAGAGGACTATATTTAATAAAAAAAAACTAATAATAATATTGCGTGTGTGAAATGTTGCAACCCAGAAAGTTCACAAAACCGAAAATACACTCTCGACGGTTTCAAATAATAATGACCAAAAAAAATTGTTTTTAGCAAAAATGAAGTTAACCCTGCTGTAGTACTATTTCCTAAAAGTGAAATGAATTACTTTAATCATAGTAAAATTATCAAATATACTAAGTAATATCACAAGCTGACAGACCGTCTAAGCTCAGAATAGTTTTTCATACACAATGATTTTATATCATTTAATTCAAATTCAACATCATTCATTACAGTGACCCACTTGGCACTTGTGACCTACTGTACAATAGAGCGACATCTCCTTACACACTTTTTGAATGAATAACAAACAGGATTTTTTTTTTAAACAATATATTAATTATAATCTATATTATTACCACCGGTTTCATAATACTATGTAGGCAAGGTGTACTTATAAGTACACTTGGTTTATATTTAATATATTACCTGAGATAATTCTTTAGTTCACGTTTTCACAAGTTGTAATTAGTTTTAATAATATGTTAATTAAAGTAAATCATCAATTAAATATTTTTAGTCTTGATCATACAATCAAAACGTTTGTTTTTTTTTAAATTTTAAATTAATACATTTATAATAGTATTTAATAGGATTCCTAGTATTAATTGTTGTAACGCTATACGCTGTTAAGTCTTATAATAAAATATGTCTACCATAGATTCTAACGACACCGTAATGCTGGAGTTAACGGAAGGCGAAAAGATGAAGAGGATATTTGAAGATCTGAGGTCGGTAAAGTTCATTCCAACTACATTTTCGACACGGGTTGGAACATGGCCGGTGTTGAAAAGACACGAGTCTACCGCCGAACGTGGCCACGACTTGTCATCAACCAGCCGAAGCAGGAGACTCCGAAGTCTACCATCAGTGTTTGTCCGCTCCGGCCGAGCTTAAGCCTTTTGAGGTTTCTGACTTGCTGCCACAAAACGGACCCCTATTCAGTCCATCGGACCTCGAGATGTCCGTTCCAAAGGACGCAGGATGCAACGCGTCGCTGCAGGATAATGGTGCTGTGGGTTCGATGGATACGCCGAAAGGAGTTAACACGTTATCGTGTACGTCCGTGCAGTCAGCGCCCGAACTACCAGCAACATCGGCCAAAGTCCTGGAGACAAGCGAGTTTGAAGACTGTTGAGGGCAGAGTCGATGGTCCTCAGCACCAAATATACATAGAACTTTTTGACTGGTGGACCACCCGGTCACAGAATGCAGTGACGGCAACGAGCAAGAGTAAATAAATCCTAAACGGAGTCGCTCAATATGGAGCCGGGCGAAGAAGTTCGTCCGGCGCATGTTTTGCTGCTCCGTTAAGAGGGTGATCGCAACCACTTAGTTGCTGAATGAAGTAATTCATTATCACCGAAATAATTAGAAAACAATTTTTGTTCATGAACTTGATTTACATAAATAAACTTGCAGCTTTGTTATGCTACTTGTCTAGTTGGTTTTTAATTGAAATAGTATTATATTATAATCAAACGCATCAACATTCAACACAGTAAATATTATCACATTTTCTTATTCTTATATGATACCAAATTTAAACTTTTAGAGTTTAATATATTATTTGACAAGTAACTATTAAGTATTAACTTACTAGTGTTCTCAGCTCGATGAAACTGTTTTCATTATAACTTGCCACGATTGCATTTTTTCTTTCTTATCTTGCGTGATATAGTCCCGTTACGTTTTATTTATTAGGTTTCGGCTTAATCTAATGTGTCTACAGCAGAAGTACTTTATTGGTTCCTTAATGTCAAATGAGGTCTATTGCCTACTGGACTTCGTCACTCCATCGTTATTATTACTCTCATTACTAATTATATGATAATGGTACCTACCTAATAAAATTGCAATTATCCAATGACTGGACCTTTGAACTGTCTAAAGTGAAACACGCTCAATGTCTTATATTTTTATGTTGTTGTTGCCCGAAGTAATATTTACCTATTATGCTTATAAAGTTATAGAATTCATAGGCTAAATTTATGGGTAATGGTAAACTCCTACAAATGTAGGTAATCTCCTTCATAGACATAGTGTTAACTCCTAGTTCCTACAAAAGATATTGTGAATTTCTACAATAGATAGTGTTGACTCCTATAAAATATAACACAAAATAATAAATATTACAAGAAAGTAAAATTTATTTTTTTCCATTTTAGTATCGTGGGCAATAAACGCCAATTTGTTCGGGAATTACCGATACGAAGGAGATTATGTTTTATCGATATTCGACAATATTCGATACCATACTATCGCTGATCTATTTTAAACATACTAAACCATTCCATACTATACCATCTTCGCTGCCGCTGTAGGTATCTCGCATCATACCACTGTCATAATACACAGGTAGCGCATATAAACATTATACTCAAGTGTTTGTATTTCATCTATGAAAATATATTTTTGTAATTATTATTTTCAACTTTTTGAGTAATGATCTATTTTTAATTTTTTGAGCTTTTCGATACCAAAACCATGTATTCAAGTAAAAATGTTGGAGTGTAGGATAGTACGTTATTTTTTTTCAATTAAAAGTGTATATGTAGAAGATTACGGTATTTTTGATTTTCAGGTAAAAAAGTTATTCGTGTAGGAGTTTACATGCGGCCAAATTAATTAATTAATTTATATATCATTATTATCTATTGGCTATAACTTATTAGGTATTGTAGTGCGCTGTACATATTATATTATAATTCAGTTAAAATTTTAAACAGTGTGCGTTAAAATAATTTTTCGATTTTACGTCGAAAATGAAAACGACTGAATTCAATGTGAGGTATGTATTATTATTTTATTATTAATAAGGCTTCTTCACAAAACGTCCGATTTAACAATATATCACTGATATTAATGGAAGATTCGACGTGAATTGTTATACCTATTTGTAAACACTTAAAACATCAATATTTTTTTAAGCATTTGAGGTTCAAAATTTTCACAAAAATCTTGAAAATTCCAAATTATTTTATAGTTGAAATGTGTACTGTTCAATTTTTATAACAACGGATTGAACATCTAAAACAACATTTCTCAGTAATAGTTCATACTATATCCGAAAAATCTAAGAAATGTATCATTGTAATATTTTATTTAAAGACACATGCGCCTACTGTAATAACGTAAAAATAAGTATATATATAAAAGAATCTTGTTAGTAGTGTATGAGTGAATGAGGGTGTCGTTAAGTTAAGGACCTGGATGATTCTCTATTCTTCTATTTTCTATATGTGTTGGAGAATGTTATCAAATTAAAATATTGAACAGTGGCTTACTCCTCAGAGACGAGGTACACTTGATATCAACTGTACAGCGAAGTGGTTACCTACTTTCCCATTTGACTTTTTTTTTAGATTCTTATGTTGTACGTTTCACTCATATTATTATGTGTATTCGGGTCAATTGGAGATTCTGCAAAACATATTGACCATCGTTTTGGATTTGAATGGTTATGGAAGATGAAATCAGATACAGCCATTAAAAAATCAAGTGAGTAAAAACTATATACCTAATGGCTTATAATAATATTATGTAACCTGACCAACAGAACTCCGAGTTATAATTTTTAATTTGTACTTTGAACCAAACTTTTAAATATATTTTTAAATATTTAAGGTTCAAATAAATTTTCAAATCATCATTGAAAAACTAGGCAATTGTTGTAAGGGTAAGTACAATTGGGCTCATGTAAACTCCGCCAGTGAAGAAAATCAAAATACAATATATATTATATATTATTATAAAAAAAATCATAATTTTTAGAAATAGTTATCGTCCCACATTAAATAATAGTTAGGTATGCGTATATCAGTAAATGCCAAAAAATGTACAAAACTTAAAAAAAAATAAAGATGACAAATATTGTCTTCCGAACAAATCATTCAAACTGTAATGTGATGTATTACGTCAAAAAATCATAAATCATAATAAGTAATTCAAAAAATTATAAAATATGTACTTGGCCATGTTGTTTAAATATTTTGAACTGTAAAATTAAATAATATAATTAGTAAACTTCTATGTTTAATACAAATCCATTGTTATAACTATTTATAGCGTCATTTAAAATAATAATTTTTTTTTTCATTTTGAATTTTTGAGCTTCTTTGGTTGAGATATACTATTAAGTTTTACAACACTGCCGGAGTTTTCTGACGGCTGGTACCGAATTCCGTCCCGGGCCCCCTATGGTTCCATAACTGAAGACCCAATTCCGTCCCGGAGGCAGAGCAATTATGTCTGAGTTCCGTCCTACTACCTGTAACTAAAATATAGGTGTCAGTAACATTTTCCTTCACATTTTCTTCAGGCTTAGGACTGGCATGTTAAAAAATGTAAAATCCGGCAAAACAGCCTTATTTATATTACAGTATATGCCATTTATGTATAAATATGACAGTCATATAAGTATTTTAATAAATTTAAGAGTATAAGTATAATATATGTTATGTGTAATTAGTATTTAAATTATTTATTATTTTAATTATTATTATTTTTTAATTATTATTTTTTAGATTTGAAATAGGCTGGTAAAAACTTAGACAACACCTGACACACAAACTGGTGTCGATCTATGTTTCGACTAACCTAACCTGACTGTTCTCTCTCCGATGTTATTTTTGATTTTGGCAATGTACTCCGTATTTTGATATAAATTATTTCAGTTTGCACAGCTTTGACAGCTTCTGTGAATTGAAATATATTTGGTTTTGAAGCATAAAAATAACTGTTGAATTTCGAATGAAATGACTCGCAATTGTTTGTGGTACGGGATACACAAGGTGAATATTCAGCCCAAATAGATGGCGGAAAAAGAGCATTCTCTGAAATGTACGTATACAGCAAATAATCACAGAACTTAGTTACTCTGACATCATCAGGTTTAATCGAAACAAAATCGAATACAAACGAATCACTAACTACATTAGGAGGTAAAAATGGCAATCCAAATAACGATCTCAGAAAGATACTTATTGATGAGTCAAATTTTCGGTATTCAGTGCTCAAACCCATACTCTGTATTTTTCTCCACCAGCTTTGGCCCAGATGAAAACGACAGCAAAATACAGGAATATGAGGAATTATTTTCTTAATTGCAGCATGAATCGAGGGTTCGAAGACATACCCATTACAGGTAAGAAAATAAAATTGGTGGAGTTTACATTGGACCTTTAATTACTCTTTTATCAAACAGGTATTCTGGCGGAGTTTACAATCGCCCAAGCCCCTTACTACTTTCGGCACGGCGATGTACCTATATTGCCTACACTTTACGCCGTACCACATTGTTTATTTATTGTTATGTTTCTATAACAATAATAATATGGTGGTGCCGGTGCAGGTGGTCTATGATTGATTCAACAAGCATGATCATCATCATTCCATTTAATAATATGTTTATTTTAATTCTGATTTTCGGAATTCTTAATTATACTTAAGAGGTATATTTTTCAATACGTACTTATCAATTTTTCCAGTTGCTATACAAACTTCTTTTTTTCAAACCAGAGCAATAACCTTTTTTTACTGTAAATCATTAAGGAGGAGATTTTTGTTTTTAATTGTTGATGTATCTAAATACAATTTTTAACTAGCAGTTTCTGAGTTATTAGTAATTACAATTTAACTATTAAAGATAATTCCTTTTAAAATTGTTTAACAAAATAATAAAATATATGTGATATTTAATCTGATAAGTAGTAGGTAGAATATAAAATGTCGATAAATATTAATATG